AACATGATTAATAATATTCTTGCCGATTTAGTCAAAACTAGTTATCTCAAACAGAAACAATATGACTATCTGTCTGCCAAACCTGATTGTCGCGAGAGACATTTGTACACTTTGCCTAAAATCCATAAGAATCCAACCAAGGAGTGGTTTATCTCGAATAAAATCCCTAAAGGCCGCCCGATTATATCTGACTGTGGTAGTGAGTCATATGCAGTGTCAGAATACATTGATCATTTCTTACTACCTCTAGCATGCCAACATCGCGCCTACCTTAAAGACACAACCGATTTTGTCAATAAAATAAAAAATCTTCGAGTTCCCTCTAATGCCATTTTAATTTCTATCGACGTTTCTTCTATGTATACCAATATCGATAATACTACTGGTCTAACGGCATTTCGTAAAGCTTTTAATAGAAACCCAGATCCAAACAGACCCGACGATGCAATTCTACAGCTTTTAGAGATTTGTCTTAGTCGAAACGATTTCACATTTAATGGTAAAACATATTTACAAACTTCAGGGACAGCAATGGGCAAACGATTCGCCCCTTCGTACGCAAACCTTTTCATGGCAGAGTGGGAACGTGAGGTGTTGCCCCTCTGTCCATTTGACCCACTTTTTTACGGACGCTTTTTGGATGACATTTTTATGGTTTGGACTTATTCTAGCGAACAGTTTTGGGAATTCTTTGAAATTCTCAACAACCACCATCCTTCTATCAAACTAACCGCAAACGTGAGTGACAAAAGCATAGACTTTCTCGATACCACAGTCTTTAAGGGAGATTCCATAGCAGAAACAAATAAACTGGATATTAAAGTGTATTTCAAAGAAACTGATACTCATCAACTCTTGCACAAGAGCTCCTTTCACCCAAAACATACCTTTTCTGGTATAATTAAGTCACAAGTTTTACGATTTCATCGAATTTGTACAAGATCTTCTGATTTCAACCAAGCCTGTACGATTGTTTTCTCAAAACTGAAAGAGCGTGGGACTCTAAACGATTTTTACGAAACATAAAAAATTCCACCTTAGCACAGATAGCAGCTAAAAACAGACTTTATGCCGAAGTCC